AACGTGGAGTGTTTTATGAATAATCTATGGCAATTGTATTATAAATACTGCCTTATTTACCTTAATGGCAGTTAAGCATTCCTGGACAATATCGTTTGTAATTATTTGCTATTTCAAGCATAACAGATTTTCTAAACAACATAATCGATTTACTTCCACTTGATATAAACTGCCACTTGGAATAAATGTGTAGTTAGTGTGCAATAATACTTGGCTCGTGTACATTGCGATTTAATAGAAAATAAATTAGAATGTCTAATATTACGAATATTTTAAAAAATGGTTATTTTTTATATTGGATTTTTAATATACACTATGATGATAAATTTTACTGGCGTCCATAATCAAATTCAAACAAGTGAAACCAGTGCAAGTGATTTGTTGAAGATACTAAACTTCACTGAAACTTTAATATCACAATTTACGATGCCATCAGCAACCTTATTTATAATAACTCCAGAAAATATTTTTTTTACAATTGACACATCAAAATTTGGAGCTAATGTTGTGATCAATTGCAATATTAATGAAACATTGGAATTTATAGAAGCACATCACTCAGTATATTTACTTTTATATACTAATGTTTCTATGGATGTGAAGGAGAGTTTACCTCAATTTATCAGTTGGACAAATTTTAAGCATGAAACTTTGTACATTCTTTATTTTGATGAATTTGTAAATGAAGAAGAATATGACATAGCACATCGTTTGGCAGAAATATTTGATGACTGTTGGTCTTTATATATTCTTAATGTAGTGTTAGTATATCGATCATCCAGAAGTCAATCAATAAAATGGTTCAACCATGATGTGTTTTTGAATATAACCTACAATCGTACCGGTGATTTTAATTTAACAACGTACAAATCCACAATAAATACGAATTTAAATGGTTATCAACTTAAAGCTTGCTTCTACAATGTGTTTCCATACAGTCTCGTCCTCAAAAACGACTCTGGTGGTATATTTGTTTCTGGATCAGATGGATACGGCATGATGACAATGCTGAAATCAATGAATGCAACTCATAAGTTGATCATCACAAGCAGTAATGGTAGCAGATTGCTCAACTCCAGAAAAGATCTAGAAAACCACGTTTGTGATATACTTTTTACGTCCCAATTCATGTCAGATGTTGATCACGTAGAATTTTTATACCCGATGGCTATGGATTCGTGGTGTGTTCTGGTTCTAAAGAAGGAGCCATGAGTGATGTCATTAAATTGTTACTACCTTTTAGTGCCAGTGTCTGGTGTGTGTTTACAATATGCATTGTAATTATTTTTGCCTTCTCATTGGTATTCTTTAAATTTGTCTTTACTATGGATGGTAGAGACCAAAGCGTTTTAATTATGGTATTTGATGTTTTCAGAATAATTCTAAATTCCTCAGTGCCGACAAGAAGACATAAGCAGTCGCTAAGTGTTAAAATATTTATGGCTTCACTAGTATTTTATAGTTTTCTCATTTCGTCTGTATACTTAGCTTTGCTCGTTGGTTTTTTATTACAGCCACTTTACCATGAAGACATGCACACTTTGAATGAAGTGTACAACTCTGGATTAAAAATTATGGCAGTGAAAGAAAAGTTTCTTCTGTGGCTTGATGCTGGACTAGGAGAATCCGATTGGATAACATCTATTATCAAACCTACTACTGATCCTAACTTTAAAAAGAATCTGCATGGAAATAATTTAAATTATGGGTACACTGTTCGACATCGTATGGCTACGTACTTTATCCAATTGGATGAGCATTATCGTAACGGTAGACCTGTTTACCATTTAGTTGAGGAGTGCTATCTTCCAGTATATGCAAGCTTTGCTGTCCACACCAGTTTTCCATTCCAGAAACTTGTTGACCGAACGCAACTTAGGATTAATGAAGCTGGATTGGGAAAATATTGGGATGTTTTGAGTCGATATGAAATCAAACTCTATACTAAAAGTCATTTGGCTAAACCAGAATATAATCACGAAGAAGCCATTCCTTTATCCTTGTCACATTTACAAGGAATTTTCTTTGCTTTAATAATTGGTATAATTATAAGTTGTTTTGTGTTTGTGGGGGAATATTTTGCAGAGCATAATAAATTTTTGGTGAATTAAACATACAAACTTACTAGTAATAATTAAAGTGAACTAAAGGCACCACATATAGATAATTTTTATATGATAGCAGATTTGTTTCAAAAATAATGTATAAAAAAAAGAGTGCGCGTAAGGTTTATACGCGATTGAAGTATTTTTTTTTGCTATTATACGAATGGCATTTAAGTTAAAAATAAATACAATATATAACGATTTTGTAAGATGTTTATTAGTAATATGGTAACACTCGTGATGCACACATTTATTAATATCAACCATTATACATATTTATCTAATAATAAATTATAAATTATATTTAACATAGAATTAAAAATATTTATGACATTTGAAAATAATAATGTAATTAAAGTCATACTTCAAACACGACATGATCGGTTTGTCATTGTAATTAGCATTTAGGACTTGAAAATTCATTAGAGTAATGAACTAATTGCTGATTAATAAATTCTATAATATTCGTTCACATCGTGCCTAAAGAAATATTGTTTTCACAATTGCATTGATCATGTAATTGTGTTTGAAAAACTTCATGTAATTAAAATTAACATACATTCAATGACTGCTTGTATTTTTTTATTCTTTTGCTGGCAAGACAATCTCATTCTTTGAGCAGCTGTAATATCTGTCTTGCCTTTAAAATATTTTCCATTTTAATAACTTCATAGATTCAAATAATATAGAAATTATTTCAATTAACTTACGTTTTGTACACGGCACAAGTATTTTATTATTTTCATTATAATTATTTTCAAAGGACTAGTAGAATTTTTTTCTGATTCAGGCATTTTTTATTAAAATACAGTTAAAATATAGTACAAAAAATTTATTTGTACTACAATGTAACCTTAAAATCTAATGACATCTCAATGAAAGATCTCTATTCACTCGAAACGACGACTAATCACAATCGACCCGTATAAAAATTATTTCATCGAGAGCGAATGACAAACAGTTCGGACGTAACGCAATTTCCGTTGTATTTTGACAGATTTACTTCGAGAAATTTTACTTCGAAAATAAATATTCACAATGGAAAATTGATTTTTTGATATATTCAGCTACAGAATATTTTATCGACATAATGGAATAATGTATATTCCATTAGATATTGCAAACCTAAAGCTCAATTTTGAATTAGTAAACATTTAGGTCTTGTTAATAAAGACCCTATTAATTAAAAAAAGACTGGATTTTTTTAGTTAACTGTTATAACTCCATCTTGTTATGGTTTTAAACAAACAAAAATAAATTTCTTAAATAAGTAAATAAACTAGCAGATGTTTAAATACAAAATTTGGTATATATAAACTTCATTACATATAGTTTGTCTAATAGCAAAATAATTTCTTAAATTAAATTTTGTGTTTACCCTAGTAGGTTTTTAAGAAGAAAAATGTGAGTTGTTTTATTATTAATTATGAGATATTTATAAGAGCTGTGACTAATTTTATAAATTTTGAATGCTTTTACTTGTTCTATTTAAAAGTTGTGATGATAAATGTTTATGTATTATAGAAGACCTAATTGCAAAATGTATGAGAATTAAATGAATTTAAGTATATGAGAAATAATAATAGAGTTGCTTGCTTTGTATACTACACTTTAATTTGATTATAATTTGTATCAAACGAAAACGTTTTAAGAAATCCACTATTAGTAAATTACTGCTAGTAATCACTTTCATTTGCAAATGATGTAAAGTTATATGTATATATATACATATATAGCAAAATCCTTGTATTAATTCGAAGCATGTGTTGCTATCTCAATGCCCAAAAAGCACCTCATTTTAATCTAAATGTGCCATTTCTGTGCCATGCAAATATGAGTATAGACAAATAAATAATCAATCATATTTGCTTCAACTATCAATAAAATTATATAAACACCAGACAGAAAACAGTGCCCTTTCACTGAAGTTATCCATTAATAATTCAACTTGCTTCCTTATATTTTCACGTTTGTGATTTATTTTGTGGTTCCATACAAATTATCCGTTCAGACGTTTCATTTCTAACTGATTTGTTAAATTATTATTTATTTATAAATCTATGGCACGTTGTTGAACTTATACAAAAATAACTTGGCATATCTTTATCTTACTTATAAAAGATGGAACAGATGTTTAGGATTGATCAGTGTACATTATAAGTCAAATTCATTCACAATGAAATACAATTGATGATTTTAATTACTATTGAGTGCGTTATATTAAGTGTTTCTCAAAATCTTTTGTTTTCCAAAAACCATAAAATAGACGTTGTTCAAAATATCATGGATTCCATCACAAGCAATATGTTTGATTCAAAATGTCTAACGATCAGCATTGTTGACACCTGTGGAGCATTGAAGTCTCAGAATATTAAAAATGACACTTGTGCCAGAATTATACGTGATGAAAAATATTCTGGATCATTCTTGAATGTAAATGCTAAAAAAAGTTTTCATTTTTTTCTAATTCCAAATGCATCGTACCCATTGACCAAGTTGATGAGGAAATATTATAATTGGAGAAATTATGAAGCTGTAACACTTTCCGTGGTTTATATATCAAATGTATCTCGCAGTGATGAAATTTCATCTAATAATTGGCTAAAATCAACATTTGTTGCTAGCTGGACACTTAATATTACACGTATTCTGGTGTATTATTGGTCAGACCATCAAAATTCCTTACAATGGTTCAACTACAATGTCTACTCCCAAAAACTCTTCAACCGTACTGGTGACTATAACACGAAAAACTATTGGCAAGAAGAAACCAATATGAATCGTCATTCAATCCATATTTGTTTTTACAACATACGTCCTTTCAGCTTAATTTTTCGTAACAGATTTGGAAAAACAATTTATTCAGGAATAGATGGTTATGTGATGAAGAATATAATGCAAAATTTCAATGCTTCGTATTCTGTGTTGGAGTCAAATGATACTTATGACAGCAGGTTGACAAAATCCAGAAATGCCTTAGCTAATCGCTCTTGTGATATTTTATTTACATCTCAGTATATCATAAATGATCCAAGGATTCATTATATTTATCCTGTAGCACGTGATGCCTGGTGTGCCATGGTACCCAAAGCTGGTAAGATGAATGATGTCATAAAATTAGTTACTCCTCTAAGTTCAACGGTTTGGTTTTTCATTTTGGCTTGCACAAATTGTATATTTGTTATTTGGTGGGCGTTCAGAAAACTGGGTGAATCTCACTTGAATGAAGAAGACAAGAGGTTGATCTTCCTGGATATTATAAGTATTCTACTCAATATATCAATATCACCAAATATTGCAAAATTATCTTCCAGTGTAAGGACACTGGTGATGTCTTTAGTATTGTATAACTTTTTTGTGTCTTTCTCTTATTTGGGTTTGTTATTTGGAAGCCTCATGAAACCTATTTATCATAAAGATATGAATACTTTGAACGAAATAAGGCAATCAGGTTTAAAAGTCATGGTTCACAAACCAGAATACCACATTTGGTTGAAAACTGGTTTAGACAACAGGGAATACAATTTGAGCGAAATATTTTTATTGGAGAACAACATGTCCAAAATAATGGATATGCGTGAGAATAACAATGTGGATTATGGATATGCAGTAAGAAGAAGATTAGCAGTATTTTTTGTAGAACTAAAATCTCACCAAAAAGATAGCAGACCAATATACCACTTGGTAGAAGAATGTTTTTTTCCCATGTATTCAAGTTATGCAGTTAATCTAAATTTTCCTTTTTCCCAACGGATAGAAAAACTTATTAGAAGATATCAAGAAGCTGGTTTGGTCATTTTTTGGGATATGTTGAGCAAATATGATTATGGAAGATTTTCATCTCAAGGCTATAGCTCGGATGACGTTGATAATTTAATAGTTATTTTTCGCATTTGGAGCTTAGGGATTTTGCTTTGTTTTATTGTATTTATTTTAGAATTCATCATAAATAAGTCTCAGTTGCGAAATGCTTCATAGATAAATTAACAAGTTCACAAAGTAGGCACAAAATCCATTGTATTATGTTATTTTAATTCTATATTCAAATTATAAATTTATTTGGATATATAGTGCAGAATATTTTGAATCTATGGCTTCAAATCAAACTTTGCTATATTTTGTCATTAATTTCTATATATGTCCAAGATCACAAACTTAATTACAATATTAAAAGAAAAACTAGCACAATAAAAATATTATAAAAGCATAATATTTTCTTTATAAAATATTATGATAAATAAAATAAAATTAGTATTATTTCCAAATAAAATGTTATTTATTAATTTAAATGTTTTACTAAATACTTTCATGTATTAACTTGAACTCAATTCTAATGTATCGATTTATATATAATAAAATATATACCTAGCTGACATTAGTTTATCTTTGTTTTATATCACATTAATCAATAGAATAAAGAAAAGATTGATATAAATCAACATACTGTATCGCACCATTAAAATTCAAATCATCATAATTTAGGAAGTCGGAAAACACCAAATTATAGTAAAATCAACGACATTCGGTTTTATTATATATAATTTGTTTCTTGTATATTTTATTGATTGTCAATTTTACGATTATTGGTAAACGTTGTAAATAAATATTTAAATTATTTTTGCAATTCAAATTGCAGATACAATCTATTTTATTTACAACACAGCATATGATTTTATTAGAATTATAAAAATAAGCGATGCATATGAACTTACAGAAAATCATAACATTAACCAACCTATGAGTATATATGATATAAGTATACCCTAATAAAATACTTTTTTGTACTAAGCTCTTTTTATATATAGGCAATTTCTGTGACTTTTTTAGAATATGTTCAACATTTACTTCAAACTGCCTAATATCGAGCAGTATTAATACAGCTGACGTATGAAAATATAGATCCAAAATATGTTTTCCTCGAAATTATATCATCAAAGCATAGGAATATCATCAGCATAATAAAAAAATATTTATTATAAAATTAATAATATAGAATTTAAATAAGGCAAACGTTGTCTTATCTGAATAATATTATGAAATTAAACTTAAAATGTAATGCATATTTTATAGTTATTTACAAGTAACCTTTATTTTTTTTCAAATATGGACAAATTTAAAAGAACCTATTATAAATAAGTACTAAAAATCAAAATTTGGCTGATAACTTTGTATTTTTTTATTTTAATTTTATTCTGCTATCTGTATATATAATTACATTTAGCAGAGAATGCTGACAAGTTGTTTACAATTAGTTGTTTACAAATTAGTAGATACCCCCAGTGGCGTATCTACTAGAGCTAATATAATGAAAAAAAAAAACTAAAATCAAAAGGAAAAAAACAATAAAATGTACCAAAATGAAAGTATTATAGTTAATTAAACTATATTAGGTCTCCAGGTTTTTTTCTTTTAAGTCGAGTCGGCTGGTCTTCTTGGTATGAATGACATACTAGTTAGTTAGGAGGAGCGTTTAATATTTGCCGCAGGAATTTGTTTTGTGCGCGTTGCATTATGTTTGAATAGCTCTTTTTAGCAGTACCACAAAGTTGAATTCCGTAGGTCCACACGGGTTTGATCACCGTCTTATATTTAAGTAATTTGTTGTAAGTTGATAATTGTGATCTTTTTAAGAGCAATTAATAATTTTTGAAGATTAGATCTATTTGTTGTCTTTTGTTCTTTATATGTATTTTCCAGTTTAGTTTCCTGTCTAAGTGAATGCCGAAATACTTTATTGATTTTTCTGGCGGAATATTGCATCGTTGAGCACAACTGCGGGGCAAGTTCGAGTGCAAAGCGTGAAAGTCATATGAACTGATTTTGTGCTATTGACTTCTATCCTCGAAAACGGAAACCATTTCTCAGCTATGCTGAGATGATGTTGAAGACTGTTTGAAGCTGCATCTTTGTTTGCGGCGATGATGCACATATTATCAGCAAATGTGGCTACACTTGCGTCAGTTGAAGTTGGAAAATCGGCTGTAAAAATTAAAAATATTGTTGGGGCAAGGACACTCCCTTGAGGCACTCCGAAATTCATTTCTGTAATACTTGAATTTGTACCAGAGATTCTGACGACAAATTTTATATTTTGTTAATAGGATTTCATTAGAAATGTAGTATCTAGTAAACATCTAGTTACCTTTTACATTAGGCCTGTATGCCAGATCTTGAGATCTGAAAAACCGCAGAACAGTACCTTTTTTATGTAGTGCATTATTAATTACGTTTATTATTCTATGAATTTGCTCTATTGTTGAATGCTTGTCTCAAAACCGAAATTGATGGTTCGGAATCAAATTTTGTTATTGTAGGATTATTTCAATACGTTGTAAAATTAGCTTTTGAAATATTTTGGATACGCAAGACAATAAACTAATCGGCCTATATTATCTGTCATAGTTATTTCAATTATAAGATGGCAATTGTGATGGATAAAAATTTTTGTAAGAAATGATATTGATAATATTTTTCCTGTGAAATAAATGTACATAAAATCGAACCCACATATTAAAAACGGTTTATATATTTTTTAAGGTCTATGTTAGGCAGGTAACATATGACATGTGACATTTAATCCATCGGGAGAGTTCTGCGATTGTCGACAATGTTTGCTCAGCAAGTAACTTCACAGTCTCTTTGTTGTTTGAGCACTATATACAACAGAAAATATATGAGGACTAGCATTCCATGTAGTGGCTAAGGCTTCATATATTTTTTGCTTATAAAATACATTTCAAGCTACCTATCTTTTCAACATTTTTCAAGATATATACATACAAACATATCTACTATTATCCGAAGGACCTAAAAACTTTAAAATAAAGACTTATTCCATTGAAAGTTTTCAAACCTCGACCTCGACGTGTATTTAGTACAGTCGGTTGCAAGTTTATATTTCTGCTCAAATATTTGAACAGTTATTGAATAAAACGTTTAAAATAACAAACAATGGAAAATTATCCAAATTCTGGAACATTACTATTAAACAGATATAATTAATCTAATAAGCGCGTGGTATATAAAATTATCTGAAACCTTCCATTCCAAATAAAACTCTTTCCTTTGAGAGCTGTAATATTATTCCTAATATCACCAGATATCTGGTTACAGATAAAATATATTATTCACTAGTTACAATATGAACCGGGTTATTTTATCGTTTGATCAAATTTCTAACTCATTGACTTTAGTAGATTTTGACACATGAGTAGTAAAGGTTATTATAATTATTTATCTAACAAGACGAATGAATAAAAAATGCAATTGATTAAAGCCACGTGTAACTATTGCGTATTCCATAATTAACAGAAAAGACATAACCAAAGATTTTCTTCAGTAGGTTATATGTTATCGAAGCAAAAAGTTTCATACATAAAGTTCATTGCTTCATTAAAATCAAGTACAATAAGTAATCAATATTTCTATCACTTTTTGTCTGAATAATATTTACAAAAAGTATTTAATTGAAGTGCACGTGTTAAGTAGAGCAATCGACTATTAATCAAATCAATGTTTTTTGTGAAAACTGTATAAACACATTTTCTATCAGTATATAAATTAAAGTGAATATGACCAAGGATGTTGACAATGACGTTAGCACTATGGTCCCGTAATAGTTCAAACCGAATTTTATATTTAGTAGTGTTTTTCCTATTTGTTAAAAATGCACAAGGAAACTATTTAGAGAAACAAATTCAAGTGAAAGATTATGGAGCAATGTTTAGTCAAATTCTAAAAGTATTAGGCTCAGTAACAGAAGCAGAAGATTACTCTGACACAATATTCTTGATTGATGTAGATGGAATAAAAGGACAATTAAACATGGTATTTGATAAAAATGCTTTTATAATATATGACATTACTAACAAGGATAAAATACCACCGCATAACTTTTTGAATAGTTCATATCTATATGTAATAGACAAGCCTAAGCTCAATGTATATCAAATGTTGCAAAGATTTTACAAATGGAGCAATTATGATGTCCAAACGCCTGTCAATGTATACGTACATAATATAACTTTAGAAGAAGAACTTGATTGTTACGAGTGGATGTCAAATATTTTCAAAAAACTTTGGTTGAAAAATGTGACTCGGATATTAATTATTTTTTGGTCCAACATAACACACTCTCTACAATGGTTTACTTACCACGTATTCTTAAGACAAATATACAATCAGACAGGGGTTTATAGTTTAAGCAAAAATATAAGCTTGTCAAATAATAATATGTATGGGCACTTGCTAGATATCTGTTTGTATGATTTACCACCAGCGAGCATCATGATGATGGACAATGTTGGAAATTTAGCAATTTCAGGAACCGATGGATATGCAATGAAAACAATTTTAAAAGCAATCAATGCGACATATCGCATAACATTCGAAGATGGAAAACAGGAAAGTCGTTTGTCTGCATCAAGAAATAATTTAATAAATCACAGATGTGATGTTTTATTCACATCCCAATATTTTATTGACAATTCAAAACCAGATTTGCAGTACATATACCCACTCCAAGAAGATTCATGGTGTATAATGGTGCCTAAAGCTGGGAAAAAGAATGATGTGAATAGATTTATAAAACCATTTGGCAATGGTGTGTGGTTTACAACTGTCGTTTTTATAGTGTTGATAGGGTTAGCTTGGTATTGGTTCTTTAGGTTTTATGATAGAGTTCACAGAGCAAATGATGAAATTTCTACTTTATTAATTCTATGCGGACTTTTCCTGAATTATTGCATCCATATAAAGTGGCGCGACGTCGGAAATAGTGCTAGGTTTTTAATGATGGCTGTATCAATTTATAGTTTCTTCATAACGAATTCTTACCTAGGTTTATTATTTGGTAGCTTAATGACACCAATTTATAATGAAGATATGCACACATTACGCGACGTTAACAAATCGGGTTTAAGAGTAATAGTTCACGACGAAGAACTTCAGAAATGGGTTGAGCAAGGTTTGAACAACACCGATTTGAGTCGAATGTTTTTACCAGAATCAAATATGAGCAAAATTTTAGAAATGAGGAATGCTAATAATATAAATTATGCATATGCAGTGAGATATCGATATGCAAGTTTTTTATTAGAACTAGATGAACATATAGAAAATGGCAGACCTATTTATCATATAGTCGAAGAATGTTTTCTTCCCACATTTGTCAGCTATGTGGTGACTATTGATTTTCCGTTTGCCAGAAGAATTGAATATTATCAGAGTTTGTTAAAACAAGCTGGATTGTATGAGCATTGGTCTGTAGTTAGTTCAATCGATTATAATCAAATGACAGCTTCAGTTTCAGCGAGAATAGAAGAAGAAGATCCATTTGATTCACTAAGATTGACGACGACACATTTAGAAGCAATTTTTTATGTTTGGCTGTTAGGCATTTGTATTAGTTGTCTTATATTTCTTTTAGAACGAACTAGTATTCGGAAAAGTTGAAAATAAATTCAGTTTGTTGCATATTCATTTTCAGAGAGAGAATTTCAACCAACGTTGAAAATTTATTAACTATTTAATAGATATCTTTTGGTAATTGTGTGAATCAGATAAACGATTCACATTAAATGTTAAATATTTTTGTTTGACGATTTTGATTAAACTTTTTATGGTAACAGAGTCTGACTCTAGGAGTACTAAATACTAGAAATCTATAAAAACTATATAAAACCACGTTTTTGGAAAATACTCGGTGTATGTATTATGTATGTTCGATTGTTTATTGATAAAAATCAACTAAATTGAAAATAAAATGTTTGTAAAATTTATACAAAATTGAATCATCTGAAATAGTTTCTTTTATGTACTACTACAACTTGAAATACTTATATATTTCTGATAAATTAATATAATGAATTATTATTTATTAAGTCAATTATGTACACATTTTGGGAAGTTCACGCAAACTTTTATATGCAAAATGTCTCTTACACCTAGTCGAATATGATCTTATATAATATGTTTGATATGTTTTAAATAATTTATTCATTATTGATGTGTTATACACATAATTGCGACATAAATGTTTACATTTAAAATGTACTTTTATACAATAATTCATTTAAAATAAATAACAATATTAAAATTATGTATTTCTCATATGTACGTAAATAAAAAATCGTTACATTAACTCACTAGAATTGAAAATTCAATTTTTTTATTATAATTTATTCAGCAAAAGAGTAAAATTGTGGTTAGTACTATACTTAATTGAAGTAAATCAAAATATAAAAATGTTGCAATTGCTATTACTACTACTAACTTTGTATTAATTAATTGATGATGTATGCATTGTGACTACTTTCTGCAAAAATTAATAATTTTATGAATAATTAAATTGTTTTGTATTATCATTTATTTAAAATAAAACATGTATTTTTGCTTTTTTGCCTACCGATAATACTATAAAAATTATTAATATTTGATTATCATAATTTTATTTATTACTTATGGATAATATAAATATGATTCAATATTGTTTAAATATTAGTATTAGGGGAAAGTGCCCAAGTGGCGGACACCTAAGGTTATTTATAAATAAATCAAAAAATATTTTACGAAATGTTTATTAAATTATGATTTATGTTAGATAACAAAGTTAGAAATCAAACTAAATTAACAAATCCGCAATCTTTTAACAATAATTATAACTATAAATCAAACTTTGTTATCAAAAAATATGATTTTAAACAGTGGCACCTAGTACCGGACATTTCAAAATAACCTGCATTGAACACATGTGTAGCCATCTACATACTTTAGAATGTTTGCACAAGTGTTTTTGACGAATATTCTTAGATATTGCAAAAAAAGTCACTATTCATCCACTCTTTTGGCTTGGTCACACCGTTGCTCTCAGCTGGAACATTCATCATAAGCTTTTCATTCTTTGACTAGGAAATACAAAAAATGGGGGTATGTAGTTACCGTTAGCACTCATACAGAACAAAACTAAATAATTGGAATTAATTACGTAAATTCTCACAAGAAATATTAATATGTTTACTGTCCGGAACTAAGGGACGGCTTAGTGTCCGGTAATAAAGGACAGACATTTTTGTTCATTTGGTGGCACCTACTAAAATTGGTTAAGGGGTTAGGGGTACTTGCAGGCACAAAAAAATGAGTGTTTTCAGTATTTTTTTTGTTATTGAACGATGTTTTTCTACAAAAATATTAATACAGCATTATTATACAATGCTTTGACTTGATGTAACAAAAATTTCAGAAAAAAAATCAATATTCCCAAAGTTATAGCTGTTTTCGAAAAACGGTCCTGGCGGTGACCATCATAACTCCTTGGAGATTCATCTAAACTCAATCAAATTAGAAAAATAGTTTTATGAATAGTTAATCCCGTACGTTAATACATATAACAGTTTTTCAGCCATTGTGGAAGTTTCCAAAATTTCTATTTGCTGTTGCCTACGAAGCATTCTGGACTCCCGAATGTTCTCGTTAGCGCGCTGATCTGCCACTTTCACACGTGCAGCATCCAATTTTTCAGCATATCAATGGGAATCATACCCACAATTAGGTCCTAGGGTACCCATAATCAATAGTAATGATTATGTATATGTATTCAGCAATTTGTACGATAGTAGAACCAGTATTCACGGTTTTTAGGCATATTTTTTACACTAGTTGGTTGAAGCTCTTAATTTTTTCTGATTATGGATTCAATCTTGAACTACACATTTTGAAAGTAAATTATCATTGCTGAGATCGTTTTAAATCAGTTTAAAAGCTTTTAAACTTTTTTTTCACATCAGGAGGTGAGGGAGAATAATCTTGAGTATAAGTATCGAGCTCTCCACTTGCGTCAACGCGCTGGTAAGAGTCCAATAACTCAAAAAGTGATCATCGGATCAACTTGAAATTTTCAGAGAACATTTTCAAGATATTACACTTAATGAAAATGCAAAAAAATAAAAATCAATTTTTCAAAAATTCCAAGTACCCCTAGCCCCTTAAAAGATCTAATAATATTCTACAATATTACGGATAACAATCAAGTACAACTTTTATCTTTGCATACCACTCGAATTTAAATGCAAAACATGCTAAAATTACTTCCATTAATATTTGGGTGACATTATGATTTTGCGCCTAAAACAAGAAAGGGTTGCTCTCGCCGTGGCCGTGTGCGTCACAAGTGAGGCTTGGAGCGTGATCCTGTACCTGTGTGCCCCCAGTGCCCCTTTCACTTGTATTTTGAAATGAAAAAATTTATACTCGCTTAAATAATACGTGTTAAATAGAGTGTCCGGTGCTTGGTGCCGCCCGGCGTTACGGGACTTTCCCTTATTTATTTCATTCAATGCTATATTGCACGTATAATACACGAATTTTAAATCAGATTTTAGCAAAACAGCAAAAAATATATTTTACAATGATTAATCAGCGGAGAATTTTACTGAACGTAAATAGGTAGTTGTTTGTTTAATGTGTTTGTATTGAACAGTATAATAACTAAAATTCAACATGAACCTCTGTTCCCTGACCTGCCCTATATATGGGTTCAACTTTTATAAAACGCACACCAACCAAACCTTGACATTTTAGAATTATCTGATTTTTTTACAGATATTAAACATAAAATCACTTGATTTTGATCATTTGATTGTATTTCAGGATTTTGCTAAAAAATGTTCATGTAAATATTTACGATTGAAATATGAATTTTTTCGTCAATTTTTATGAACATCCTTTGCGGTAAATTAATTATCTCCAGTTGCGCTGATCGAATCAGTATTATTAGTTTTTAATTACACTTATATTAAAGTAAACTTTATAATAATTTTAAAAAAATTGTTTTTGCAATTTTCCTAACAATAACAATACTTGAATCGTTTGTAATAGAACGACTCATATAGTTAAGATTATAATAAACCTTAATTTAAAATTATTGATACTAATGTGTGTTTGAATAATTTTGAATATTTTACTCATACAAGAAATACGAATTAATAAAAAGTTCAATTGATTAATTACTAGTAGAACCAGTAAATTTCTTCAGTTGGTTAAATGTGATCGGATCATAAAGGTTTTATACATGGAGTTCATTGTAGGTATTATCTGAATACAATAAGAAATCAATATTTCTATCATTTTTTGAGGCAATAATATTTATAAAAAATATTTGATAAAAGTCCACGTGTAAATGGAGCACTAGTCTATTAATCAATTCAATATTTTTTGTAAAAACTTTATTACCACGGTATATGTGTATAAATTAAAATTAGTATGACTAGCAATGTTGATCATGTCGTTGGTACTATGGTCCCACAGACCAATCCGAATTTTATATTTAGTAGTGTTTTTTCTATTTGTTAATAGTGCACAAGGAAACTATTTGGAGAAGCAATTTCAAGTTGAACATTATGGAGCAATGTTCAGTCAAATTCTAAAAGTATTGGGCGCCGTAACGGATGCAGAAGATTACACCGACACAATATTCTTGATTGATGTAGATGGAATTATTAACCAACTGAATATAGTATTTGATAAAAATGCTTTTATAATATATGATATTGGTAATAAAGAAAAAATACCTCCACATAACTATTTGAAGAGTTCTTATCTATACATAATAGATAAGCCCAAACTCAATGTATTTCAAATGTTGCAAAGATTTTACAAATGGAGTAATTATGATGTCCAAACCCCTGTAAATGTGTACGTACATACTTTAACTTTACAAGAAGAACTTGATTGTTACGATTGGATGTCAAATATTTTCAAAAAACTCTGGTTAAAAAATGTGACTAGAATATTAATTACTTTTTGGTCGAATGTAACGCATTCTTTACAATGGTTTACTTACCACGTATTCTTAAGGAAAATATACAATCAAACAGGGATTTACAGTTTGAGCAAAAATATAAGCTTGTCAAATAACAACATGTATGGACACTTGTTAGATATCTGTTTGTACGATTTACCACCTTCTAGCATTACGATGCTTGATAATTATGGAAATTTGGCAATATCAGGCTCCGATGGATATGCAATGAAGACAATTTTAAAAGCCATGAATGCAACTTATCGTTTAACATTTGAAGATGGAAAACACGAAAGTCGCTTGGTTGCATCAAGAAACAACTTAATAAATCACAGATGTGATGTTTTATTTACATCCCAGTACTTTGTTGACAATTCAAAACCAGACTTGCAATATATATACCCACTCCAGGTAGATTCCTGGTGTATAATGGTGCCTAAATCTGGGAAAAGGAGTGATATAAATAGGTTTATAAAACCGTTTGCCAGTGGTGTTTGGTTCACAACAGTAGTTTTTATTGTGTTGATAATAACAGCCTGGTATTGGTTTTTCAAGTTTCATGATGAAGTTCACAGAGCAGATGATGAAATTCTACATTATTAATTCTATGCGGACTTTTCCTGAATTATTGCATTCATATAAAGTGGCGCGATGTCGG